CAAAAACTTTTAGACTATACAACGTATCATATGCGTGACCAAAATGAACAATAAGAAATCAGGTCCTCTATGATAAATTTTTGTTCAAAACTAAACATCGTTCTACAGACATACGAAATATACCCATCTAATGCAGCAATAATTTTAGAAGAAAAAAAATTGATTTTTAATTAAATTACAAATTAATTTTTTTATGAAATTGATTAAAAATGAAAGTGAAAATTGAAACAAGTAAATAATGTTGTAAAAAAAATTTTTTTCTTTTTCTATATTTCTAAACATTTTACCATCCAAAAATTCAAAATTTTATAGTTTATTTGGCATAAAAAACTTTAATTGCATTTGAAGTCTTTGAAATGACAAAATTATGCAAACAAGTGAAAAAAAAAAGAAATAAATTTTTGAAAAAAAGAATAAACCGACAGAAAAATTGACAATAATATCGTATTGTTTATTAGACGGTAAAAAAATAAATTTTTTATTCTGTCATCTTCTGTAATATGAAAACAGATACAGGTAAAATTAAGAATACAAACAAAGCAGAGAAACTCAAACATACATTTTACATAACAGTGTACAACAACAAACAGCTGTTAGTGTTTGCTTTACTTTAATGCGTGAACTGTCAAAAAAATCAATTCTTTTTCTTCGTTTCTTAGCTTTAGTTGGTCATTTAACCACAGCTAAAGCATATAGTATAACCCACTGAACAACGGAATTGCATTTTCGATGAGGGGTTAACAGAAATTATATGGGCGACTACCCACTTGGATTTACAGTGTAATAATAATAATAAAAACTAAGCCAAGCAGCCAAACCGGATCTTCGTGAAGCAAAGACTGCGCACAGCAGCAAAGCAAAACAGTGCAACAGACAATTTGAACGATGATGTGAAAGAACTGAGCACAGCACAACACTACACAACAGCCTCTTAGCAACAAAATCTGTACGGTTATCCCAAGCAAACCTACAGAACAACGCTTTTTCCTGGCATGAGCCCGCAAACTGTCAGTTTTGTTCGTAGATGCATATTATATATATAACAAGTATATATATACTTATTTTTTCCTTTTTGCTTTTGGAAGCAGAAAGTCCAAGAAGTTAGCAACGTCTTGCAGTATTATGTATTGCTAAGGACTACTAATTGATGTGCATCCATTTATTTTCTGTTATTTCTACAAAACATCCTTATTTCTTACGTGCTTAAATGTCATAAAGGTAGATTTTACTAATCCAGTAGAACTGTCTGCTGCTGAAAAAAGTCCAGTGACTTCCGACGGTTTCTTCCAATTAAAAATGTGCTTTTGTATATTTCAATTTCTGACTGTTTTTTTGACCGTCGATGTTAGTGAATGAAATTTAAATATTTTAAAGTTACTCTAAAAACATTTTAGTGGATTCAAGTGTTGGTAAATTTAAGTGTGTGCTAATGGGTAACTACTATTATTTTAAAAAAATTCCGATAAGGTTAACAACTTTTAGGTAAAAAAAAAAAAAAAAAACCGAGTTTAATTTTTTATCTAAAAACGTCTTTTCTTCCAATCCCATTAAATTTTTTTAAATAAAAAAATATACTTTATTATTCGGAATTGAAAAAATAACGGACAACTAAATTTTACTCCCTTTCAGAATGACAAATTAAAGAACTCTTCCGTATCTTAGTTTTAAGCAGTTAGTTCTTGTAAACTATATCCTCCTTTGTACTTCATCGACTTTTGCGTAAGGCTTATACACTTGTTTCTGATATACCTCTCAGTGTTTCTATGCGTCAGTATGCGTCACCAAAATGAATAGGCTTATTGAGGGCAACAAGTAAAAATCTTTTCAAAATCTAATAGCCACCCGTTTAATGTACCTTTGTTGCCTTGTCCTATATAAAATTCATTAACACCAAAAACCTAATATTCAGTCCAAATAGGAACTCTTAATTTACTGATTTAACCAATGTTCTAAGTTTCTTTTCTCCTGAAGTTCCATAGAAAGACCAATTTTTTGGTTTGCAAGGCCAAGTGGTGGCTTAAAACTGCTAAACTTATCATATGGAATTTTTTCGACGACCACCCGCTTCCAGAACAAACCGGGTACTGAAGAGAATTTTGAATTAATAAAGGTCCAGTATTCTTGATCTTGAGTGGACCAGACCAGACTGGAGATGAACACTCAATTTTATACGTTAATACTGGCGCCATACTGAATCCAGATACCTTGGTAACGATGAAAAAACTAGTGGAAGAGCCGCGAAGCCCCACTACACTTAGCACCCTTTTCGAGGCGCGAAATGAAGCTTCAAATTCAAAAACTCTTCGTTTCTACCTTCGTAACAGCGATATAATTTTTCGTCTAACATCATAAGATTTTTTTTTTTTGGTTTTTAGATGACAGCCGGGAAGGGTGACGAGTCGTCTATTAAATCTGCAGAAGATTTTAAGGATGCTGGAAATAAAGCGTTTCAATGTGGCGACTTACAGGCAGCGCTGGAATACTACACCACTGCCCTCGAACTAGAGCCAGATGGCGAACTTAAGGCTACTTTGTACAGAAATCGAGCTATTGTTAAGCTGAAACTGGAGGATTACGAAGGCTGTGAAACTGATGCCACGCGAGGTTTGTGAAATAAATTGTAATTGGCCTACTCAAGAAAACTGATACATTTCACGTTCCAAAGTCTTTTCTATTTTTTCGTCTTTATCGCCGAACGTGAATCTCATAGCAGAATCGTTAGTGTTGCCTTTTCACTGCATCTTTACCTGGTTGCTTTTCTAAATTTTAGCTATCGATTTGAAAAAGGGTGATGTAAAAGCTCTATTCAGAAGGGCTTCCGCGCGAGAGAAGCTTGAAAACTACGCTGGAGCAATTCTTGATTTAAGAGAAATATTGCATATTACGCCAGAAGATAAGTAAGTTTCTTAATAGTAATATTCCTTCTCAGGATTGATGTTGAAAATAATGTTTAATTTTAGGAATGTGGCATCAGTGTTGCGTCGAGTTAGCGAGCTTCACTTAAAAAAGGTTGATAGCATCAACAGTTTAGATAATAAAGTCAAGACAATGAATGATGTCGCTTTTTTTGACGGAGATCTCGATAAAAGGAAAAAGGTGAAATATCTAGTTGTCTTTTGATTCATTTATGGTCTGAATCAGACCGGTTAGCCGGTTGGCTTTAATGACTACTAATTTTTACCATCAATATCTGGATTTCAGAACACTCAAAGTTATTGGTTTTCAGGCAATGAACAATCTTCTTGTTTTGGCTAGGGATTCTGAAACAGGCGCGTCGAGGGTTTGGAGTGAAGGAAGAATACTGGAGCCTTTATTGAATATAATGAGGGATAAAAGTGTCGATGAGGAACTGTTACTTGCAGCAACAAGAGTTCTCGACGAGGTCATGAAAAAGAGTGATCGCGTACGTTTTCTCACTCATAATAAGAGGACATCCTGTTTTGGTTTTCTTTTTCATAAGTTCACGAGACGTCTTATTTTTTTTACTCACAGTTTTTTATGGTTTGATCCACTGTCCCTCTTCTTTTGCATTATGTAGTGGATTTCATTTACATAGCAGATATCTGAATGCAGGCCATGTCAGTTACGAAACGGCTTGGTATGGCGACGTTAACGCGTCTGTTATGCTTACGTGAGGAACCAGGGTTCGTGGATGCGTGTGCGGTCATACTCCAAAGAGTTTTTAACGCTATTGCGAAGATGGATCGCCATAAGGAAGTAAAACCGGATCCTGAAGTATGTGAAGGTACAGAAGCTTTTTTGTGTTCTTTTGAAGAGTCTGAAGTAAATGATAGCTTTCTTATTACTTTTGTTTCAAATTGTAGCGAACAAGATCGAAATTGTGAGGCTAATTTTGGAATTGGAAGAAATGCTTACGGACGTTAAAGTATCCAGCACTGTTCGTGATACAGTTATCGACCTGTTCACAAAAAATTTGATGCACATGGATGGTGGTTTACCTAGAGGGTGGAGCTGGCGGTTTGTCGAAGATCGAGGTAATTTTTCATCTTATTTTCATTACTTCTTTGGAGTAAACAGTTTCGCTGAGATTTTTAATGGAATAAGGAAGTTTCTGTTTTGAAGTGTGTAAGACTTCTTCAAGTTTTATTTGAAACAGGTAAGGTCTTTCTTTCTAACTTCTTTTTTGCTTTCTTAGACAACTTTTAGATTTTAAGGCTTAATAAAATTGCTGCACGTTTCTACGCAAATCCCTGAACAGTGTGATTATCCGGTTTCGGCGGAAACTAGGCAACATCTAGCTGTTTGTCTGCAGAGGTTAGATAATGATATGGTTTTTGATCCGAGACGAGCTGTGTTTAAAGACAGACTGGACAAGTTTTTCAAGTAGGTCTTTCTTCTGGTTCTTCTAAGAATATACTGTTGGTCTATTTGCAATCTCTGATTTCTTAGAGGGGCATCTTTAATTGTTGCTTCACAATTTCTTATTAAAATTAAAGTTAGCTTTTCTTGGGTCACATCTCATATAAAATTCGTTTTTTAGTCCACTGTTGGAGCAAAGCAACGATCCTAAAATCAGAATTAAAATAGCTGCGTTATTGGTTACCCTGTTACAGGTCAGAGTGATCTTTTAATTCCTTTTATTTTACATTTATCTATCGTT